GCAGCTCAGTTGGTGGAGTGCCTGCCTCAAATGTAGGAAGCCCTGGGCTCCATCCCCAGCTCTCAACCAATGAGGTGTAACAGCACACAACTGTAATCCAGAACTCAGCGGGTGGACACTGCAGAATCAGAAGTTCAAGGTCATTCTTGGCTACCTAGACAAGTGAGGCCAACCTGGGTTACATGAGACACTGTCTCAAACAAACAAACAAACAACCCATAGTATCATAATGATTATTACAGGAGCTCACAGGCCCCTGAAGCTGTCTTCATCCAAATCTGGACATAGATACAGTCTTCTTGGCTGGTTCTGTTAGTCTTTCTAGGCCTGCAGTTTAAGATAAGCATTTAAGCCAATGGTTCTTAGCCTGGGGGTTTCGACCTCTTTGGTGTTGAATGACCCTTTCACAGGGGTCACATATCAAATATCCTGCATATCATATATCTATATTATGATTCACAACTGTAGAAAAATTACAGTTATGAAGTAGCAATGAAAATAACGTTGTGGTTGGGAGGTCCCAGGCAATGCTCTTGCTGTTTACTAGAACCACCTGTGATGGAACCATCTGGTATCCTGGATGCTCAGGGCTACTGAGCATGTAAAAAGTGGCTAGTGCGTCTGAGGAGCCAAACTTTCATTTGGAGTTATTATTATTATTGTTTATGCAATGCCTGGGAGAAAGCCCAGGGACCCCTGAACGCCGGGCAGATGCTCCAACACTAACCTACATCCCCAGGTTAATTTTTTTTTCCAAGACAGGGTTTCTCTGTGTAGCCTTGGCTGTCCTGGAACTCACTCTGTAGACTAGGCTGGCTCAAACTCAGAGAACTCATCACTCTGCCTCCTGAGCGCTGGAATTAAAGGCATGCACCAAACTCCTGCCACCTTGACTCCCCCCTTCGTGAGAGATTATACCCTTGAACCGTGAACCAAAGGAAGCTCCTTCTCCCTAGAGTTGTTTTCTCCAGAGTATTTCATTACAGTGGAGAAAGGAAACTAGGACACTGATCTTGCATGTCAAGGATGCGTCCACATGATGTCAACATGGCTCAAAGGTTCCATCTCCTAACCTCATCCTTTGAGGGTGCTCCATTGAGGAGCACTGTGCCTATGGCAGTGATAACACCTGATTCCTGAAACGTTCCATGACTCACCTTCTTGGACGACCGTGGCTTGGTGGCCTTGGATTTCTTGCCCCCCTTCTTGCCTGATGCCGCCTTCCTTCCTCTTTTCTCTGGGGGCGGGGAGAGGATCGTTTCTGACTTGCCTTTGGTCCCTCGCTTTTTGGCCAGCAGTTCAGGGTGAATTCTAGGCAGGACACCCCCACTGGCGATGGTCACTCCTTTCAGCAGCTGAGAGAGAGATGCAAAGAACTGGTCAGCTCTGCGCTGGCTAACACAAGTGTCGGCCCTGGCCACACAAGGCTGGAGTCTGGCTTCTGCTTAACCAACAGAACTGATTAACATGCAGCTGCTGGCTCTCCTGTCCTATGCTTGCAAAGCATTTCTCAGGAGGTATCAGATTGTCTGCGGTCTTGCATAGAAAGCAGAACGAGGCAGAATCAAAGTGTCAGAGAAGTTGAAACTGGGATGATGGCCAGGGCTCTGGAATTTCAGGTGACGATGGAGAATAGAGGGCTGTGTGTGGGAAGCACACTGATCAAACCTGGCTTCAAAGGTTAACTCAAGAATGAGATCCAGTGGCTTGCACACTCTCAAACATTTGACCATGAACCTCCCAGTGGATACATTTTGAACAATTAACCCACAATCATATACTCTGCATATTCTAAACCGAGGGTGGTCTGAACCTATGGCTTATCCACCATCCATTAGCCAACCATGTGTGTCAGAGCAGCACAGACAAGGTGAGAGTCTAGAAACAGCTACAGCAAGTCCACAGTTATTATAGCACTGCCGACTCTGACAGGAGCTTTGGGATTTTCATTTGCATGCCTTTGTTTTGCATTTTCATAGCAATCAAATTTTATCACTTTTATTTTTAAATGGTCAATCTATGATGGACTGGCAACTTTAAAGGTCCTTTAGTTTGAGAAGAATGAGATCAGAACATAAACATAAATAAAAAGTCTCACTCTACTTAAACCCCAGCATGCCTAGTGTTGTCCAGAAAGGCATTCACTTGGCTGTGGCGTCAGTCAGATCTAATGTGTAAATAGGGAGTCTCCTATTCACATCCCAATAAATCATCCGCAGGGCTCCAGTTAAGAAATTGCCAGGAATAATATATGCACGCAATGACTTGTATTTAATGAGGAGACAAATCTCTTGAAGATTTGTCTCCTCATTAAATACAAGTCTGCACTCCACATGGCAGAGTCTGCTCTAGAGGGAATTTGATCTTGACTCTGAATGCAGAGCTATTAAAATCTGTTCTTCTTTACCTGGTCCTGATTCCTGATGTGTGTGTGTGTGTGTGTGTGTGTGTGTGTGTGTGTGTGTCCCACTGGGCCTAGGGTGCAGACCTACCTGGTTGAGCTCCTCATCGTTGGCCACGGCCAGCAGGATGTGCCTGGGGGCTATCCGGGCCTTCTTGTTGTCCCTTGCAGCATTCCCAGCCAACTCTAGGATTTCCGCTGAAGTACAAGGGGAAGTTAATGAACAATCAAATTACTATTATTATTGGTATGTGTATGTGGGTGTGTGCATTTGCACAGGTGGAGGTCAGAAAACAACTCTGTGGAATTGGTCCTCTCTCTCCACCTTGATGCGGGTTCTAGGGATTGGATTCATGTTGCCAGATTCATGCAGCAAGTGCCTTTGCCTTCTGAGCCATCTTGGCTACCATAAAGCTTGTGATTTTTGCTTTGGGCTGTTATCCAGGGTTATATGTGGCCCAGAGGCCACAGGTTGCATATAGCTGGTATTCTATATTCCTCTGTCATTCGTTAGTTCTTTTAAATTTGTGTATTTTGTATCTGTAAGTATTTTGCCTACATGTATGTATATGCACCACATGTGTCCCAAGAGGGTGTTTCATCCTCTGAACTGGAGTTAGAGATGTCTGTGAGCCACCATGTAAATGCTAGGAATCAAACCCAGGTCCTCTGCAAGAGCAGCCAGTGTTCCTAACCACTGGGCCATCTTTAGTTCCTTTTTATATCTATAATATTTTGTGTGTGTGTGTGTGTGTGTGTGTGTGTGTGTTGGTAGTGGGGGTGAGTAAGCTACAGCTTTTACCAATAAACCATTTCATTGGTATTTTATTTTATTTCTTTTTTTGTTTGTTTGTCTGAGTCAGCATCTTACTATGCAGCCTTGGCTGGCCTGGAACTCACTTTGTAGACCAGACTGGTCTTGAACTCACAGAGATCTGCCTGCCTCTGTCTCCTGGGTGTTGGGATTAAAAGTGTGCACCATCATGCCCAACTTTCTATCTTGTTTTACTACTTTTCCTTTTTCTTCACTTTTGTTCTAGTATTATTGTTGTTAAAGCTGTATTTTATTTTTAATTGAAGATTTATTTTGCTTTCTCTTCAGTTGTGGAAAGATGATTCATTTGCTTTAAAAAGTGTGAATGAGGAGCTGGAGAGACGGCTCAGTGGTTAGGAGTACTTTCTTGTTCTTCCAGAGGACCAGAGTTCGATTCCCAGTACCCATGTCGGGTGCTCACAATCTCAAGTTCAGGGTCTAGCGCCCTCTTCTGGCATCCACTAGCACCCACACATATGTGGGATACACGTGCATAAATACACACATAAATAAAAATGAAAACAAGTCTTAAAAAAAAAGTGAGTAAGTTTGGTGTGGTATCCATTTACAAATGTACTTGGATGGCTGAAGCAGAAGGATCCCAAGTTCCAGGCTGGACTATAGTGGAACTCAAACACAAACAAACAAAAACATGGAAAATGAAAACAAAAAAATGAGTTTTAAAGAGAAAGTTCTTTACTGAAAGCTGGAAGCAGTGGGCCAACAGGTCTCACAGAAGAGGGAAGAAAGGGTGCATGTGTGTTTGCACTAATGTTCTACGCTGCTGTGTGCAGACAGTCTCTGTGTTTTGACTGCATCTGCTGGTACAGCATAAACACTCGGGCTGCTTCTGCAGGCGTCTTCTCTGTCAGCCTAATATCAAATAGAATAGCCCATAAAGTTGCCATCATCCAGAAACCTGACGGCAACAGTGGAAACTTGGCTAAAGACTGCTGTATTAGCCGGGCAGATGTGATTAACACAAACATTAGAATAAAACAAACATCAGACTTCAATATTTATATGGCATTTCCAGAATGGAAAGCGCTAAAGAACCACAAATTCTTCTCATGCCTTTCCTGGAACATTCAGCAATGGCTAGCAAGCTTACTGACACAGTGACCATAGTGTGTGCTGTGAGCACTCATGTATACACTCTCATGCATGCCACAGGTTGAGGCAACTCTCTCTTTTTCTCCAGCATACCTTTTGAGAGTCTCTCACTAAAGTGGGAGCTTGCTGTTTCGGCTAGACTGGCTGGCCAGTGAGCCTCAAAGATCTGCCTGTCTCCCTCCCTTCCAGTGTGGGGTTACAGGCTATGCATGGCTTTTGCATGGGTATTGGGATACTAACTCAAGTCCTCATGCTTACATTTACTAAGCTACTTCGTCAGCCCTATGACCTCATTTTCTGAATGATTGGGGCATTGTAGTTTAAGAAGTATGAACACACCTGTTGGACAGATGGGACAAATATTTTGAAATTGATGCCATATTAGATTTTTCTGGCCTGTGACTTCTGGCTGACATTCAGCTTCCTTTTCTCTTGAAAATTATATATAGCCCTGGCTGGCCTACAACTCACTATGTGGAGCAGGCTAGCCTCACACTCCTAGCAATCCTTCTGCCTCTGCCTTGAGAGTGCTGAGATTAAAGGTGTGTCAGAGATTTGTACTTAACCTTGGTGCATAGGAGGGGGAATTGACAAACTGCAAGGTTGTTAGAGATATTGTTACTAGAGAATAAAATGACCCAACAGGGGACTAATCCCATTTAGTTATCTACATTACTTGCATAGATTTGTTTTGTTTATTTTTTTGTTTGTTTGTTTTTGAGACAATGTTTCTCTGTGTAGCCCTGGTTGTCCTGGCCTCGAACTTGCGAACTCAGAGTTCCGCCGGCCTCTGCCTCCTGAGAGTTGGGATTTTAAAGATGTGTACCACCATACCCAGCTGCATATGTATTTCTTAAATGCACCCATAACATTGTTTTGTTTCTGTTTAACACCTGAGAACAATTTAAATGTCAAGCAGAATTAAGAAGTGCACAGAGTATCCCGCCTGCTGGGCAAAGTGGCACACGCCTGTGATCCCAGCACTCCGGAGGCTGAGGCAGGAGGATCCAACTGAGTATAAGGTAAGTGTGGTAAAATGGTGAGTTCCAGGCCAGGCAGGGCAAAAGAGTGAGACCATGGTTCAAAACCAAACAAGCCAGTCTTCTCCGGGCTGGGGATATGGCTCAGTAGGAAGAGTGCCCACCAAACATGATGATCTAAGACTGTGTTCTTCAGTGTGTGTGTGTGTGTGTGTGTGTGTGTGCCTGTGTGACTGTGTCTGGGGGAATCAAAGGCCAATCTCAGGTGTTTTTCCTCAGGGGCTAGCCACCTCATTTTTGAGCCGGACTCTCTCACTAGGACCTGGGACTTGCTGACTGGAAAGGCTGGCTAGTGAGCAAGCCCCAAGGACACACCTGTTTACACTTCTCCAGTGCCAGCATTTCAAGGGTTGTGGTGCGGTGCCCAGTTTTTACACAAGTTCTGGGGATCAAAGTCAGGTTCCCATGATTGTATGCCAAGCACTTTACCAACTGAACATCTCCCCAGCCTTCCTACTTTAAATGTACCCAAACCAAATCAACCAAACAGAAGCCCTACAACTACCCCCAGGGATTTAGTGAGCAATTCGAGGCACATTGCACGGCTGACAGCTTAGATATGTCATATGTGGCATTTGCTAATGCAAGCCTCACGTTGCTGGGCAGGTCTAGAAGAACAGTTTAAATGTGCGCTCTCTGTCCTATGTGGAGAACTCTCCAATGCCCTTTCTCCTTCCCCAAGGCCTTTAGATGCCAACCTTGGCCAAGCAGGCCAGGAAAAGCCTTGTCATCACCCGCAGTATTTTTGAGCCAGGTACTGGGAGAGTCACAGCATCCTACCCAAATGTGAAGGGCTCCAAAGGGTGGGAAAGTGGCTGTGGGGCCCCCTACATTCTGGAATTACCTGCCAGGTACTCAATGACAGCAGCCATGTACACGGGCGCTCCAACGCTGATCCTGTACTTGAATGTCCCTTTCTTCAGGTACCGCATCAACCGCCCTACTGGAAAGATGACACCAGCCCTGGCTGACCGGGACAGCTTGGACATTTTCTTCTTCCCACTCCGGCCTGACATCTTGCCTCAGTTTTCCTCTCAGCTTGCTGACAGAATGGCCTCCTGGCACTTAAGCAACACTAGAAAGGAAAGAAGGCAGGATTGAGGCTGGCTGAAATACCAGGGGCACATCAGTGTGGCCTTATGTCTGGCTGCCCTGTGGAGGCAGCTGAACCTTAGCTGCCAATGTAAGAGCTGGGCAGGGCCTCTGAAGGGCATCTGCAGCCCCCTTACAAACCTCCCTCCCTACGGGGCAGCCCCAGGCAGCAGAGGCCAAATGAAGCTGTTGCTAGAAGGGAAAGTTACACTCCTGTACCCAGCTGTGCAGTGATGGCCATGACATCATTTCCTTGTCCCCAGACCCTGTGGATGCTCTGTATGAAAAGGGATTTTACAGATGTGATTAAAAATTTTTTTTCTTTTTAAAAAAACAGATCCTCATATACTTGAGATTGGCTGTGAATTCCTCATCCTGTTGCCTTCACTTCCTAAGTGCTGAAATTAGAGGCTAGCGCTGGCTCCATAGTTCACTTTTGTTGTTTTGTTTAAAGACAGAGTCTCACTCTGTAGTCTTGGCTGGCCTGGCATTCACTATGTAGACCAAGCTGGCCTTGAACTCACAGAGATCCACCTGCCCCTGTTTCCTCAGGGCTGGGACTAAGAGCTTGTGTCACCATGGCGGGCCACAGCTTTCAGTTATGTAAATAAGCCTATACATGTTTCTCAAAAGGAACCACTTTTCAGCTTCTCTAATAATGCATGCAGTCTTTCTTTCTTTCTTTTTGGCCAGGGTCTCAGGTAGCTCAGGCTGGCCTAGAACTTAATATGCAGTTGAGGATGACCTTGATTGAACCTCTGTTTTTCCTGCCTCCACCTCCTGTGTGCTGGGATTACAGTCATGCACAACCATGACCAGTTCACATGGTACTGGGGATCAAACCCAGATCTCTGTTCATACTAGGCAAACACTCCATCAATGGAGCTACAACCTAACCCCAGTGTATGTATCACTCTGTAAGAAAGGGCAGTGTTAAAATACTATGCTATTGCCTAGCAATCAGACAGCACACAGAAAGCCACAGCACAACTTAGACCTCTGTTCCTTGAGGGAATCCAGGATGGTTTGGGGGAGACATTTGAAGTCAGCACAGAGAGGTGGATTCTGCATAATTCATCAATGATTTACTGTCCCTTCTAAAAGCCATCTTTTAGAAGAGCAAACAACCATAGCTTCCTGAACAGTCTTGCTCTAGCTGTTTTGAGACAGGGTCTCTCTATGTTGCCCTGGCTATCCTGAATTTACTATGTAGATCAGGGCTTCATGGACACAGCTGGGCTTATCTCAATCTTTCAGGTAAGGGAATATTGTGACCAAAAAAAAAAAATCATATAGTATTTCTAACTTACACGTATACATTATAATATGTATAACAAAGTCTTACAATATACAATTATGGAGTAATATAATTCAGAGTAAGTAAATTACACAGGATAAACAGGAGCAGAGTAAAGCCATAGACATTTCTAGGGAATGAGTCAAAGCGCTCCAATCCAGGGTGACAGCATTCCCTTGTTGGCAGAAATGAGAAAGTCAAAATAAAACGGACTGCTCAGCTGCCGGGAGACACACAACTAGGGTTCCTGAACCTCCAACAGGCCATTTTCTTTTCATTTACTTTTGCATGTGTGTATGTGTATATGGGTGTTTGATAGTATCGTTATGTATGTGTGTATGTATGCATGTATATATGTGAGTGTTTGTGTGTGCTGGATAATTTTGACACAGGCTAGAAAAATCTGAGAAGAAGGAATCCAGTTGAGAAAATGCCTCCATAAGACTGGGGTATGGGCAAGCCTATAGAGCATTTTCTTAATTAGTGATTGATGGGGGAGGGCCCAGCCCATGGTGGGTAGTGTCATCCCTGGGCTGGTGGTCCTGTGTTCTATAAAAAAGCAGACTGTGCAGGCCAGAAAGCTGCACCCCTCCATGGCCTCTGTATCAGTCCCTGCATTTAGGATGCTGCCCTGTTTCAGTTCCTGTCCTGACTTTCTTCATGGATGGACTATGAATGCTGAAGTATACACAAAATCAACCATTTTCTCCCGAACTTGCTTTTGGTCATAGTGTTTTATCATAGCAATAATAACCCAAACTAAGATAATATATGTGTAGCTACACTTATATGTGTGTATATGTATATATGCATATGCATGTGTGTATGTATATGTATTAGCGTGTGTGTGGAGATGGGGAGCTTGCATGAATGTCACTCCACAGAGGACAGTTGAACTCAGGTCATGAGGTGTAATGGCACCTTCCTTTATACATGGTGTCATCTTGTAGGCTTTAGTTTCCTGTAGTATCCTAAAGTCTGTTATGGTTGACGTGTTTTAAACATTGACATGGAATTAAGACTGCTCAGTCCTAACTGAGCATTTTCTTCCTCCCTCTCTTCCTTTCTTTTCTTTTTATTCTTATTCTTATTTTATGTGTAGGAATATTGTTTATTTTATGTGTAGGAAGGAGGAGGGGAAGGAGGAGGGGATTTAGAGAAATGGGAGGGGGTATGTGATGTGGACATTTTGGTTTATGATATGTAAACACATTTTTGTTAAATTCCAAGTTGGGGAATTTAGTTTGCCCACACCTGTTAAGCGTCTCCTGTGTAGGATGGTCTTTGCCAGGTGGAATTAGTTGAATCCTGAGGGCTTTGAGGGGTGTAACTATGACAGCCTAGAGGAAGAAGGCACAGCTGCTTGGAGGGGGACTGCTTGCTGCCGGTTCGTCCTGCTGCTGCCAGTTCGTCCTGCTGCTGCATTTGCTGCTTGCTGATTTGCTGGTTACCTGGACTTTGGGATTTCTGGACGACTCATAGTGGTTTTGCTCCCAACAGAATCCTAAGACCCTACCCAGCGGGAAGTAGCAGAGAGAACGCCACCCCCTGTCCCCACTAACCTTCTCTCCCTCCTACCTGGTGTTGGGGGGTTGGAAGGGAGATAGAAGCATTTAAACACCCTAAATAAAGTAGGTTTCATAAAAAATTTAGGTCAACAGGTATGAGATAGGCTAATGGGGTAAATATGACCACAATCCATTCTATACGTGTATGAAATTGTAAAAAAAATTAATCTATAGAATTTGGCCTTTTGTTTGTTTTGTTTTGTAAACCAGATTTTTTTTAAAGATTTATTTATTTATTATTTATACAGTATTTTGTAGTGCATGTGTGCCTACCCACCAGAAGAGGGCGCCAAATTTTATTACAGATGGTTATTTCCTTTGGTTTATTGGTTCTTCCTTTGGCTTATTGGTCTCCTTTGTCATGTTCAATTTTATGTCGTCTTGCAACTGACCAGCAGTGAAGGCCACACCTCTCACCCTGATTGGTCAGGACTTTTGGAAGAATAGTCAGTGCTCTTAACCTCTGAGCAATTTCTCCAGCTGGTAAAACAGATCTTACTATGAAGTCTAACCTGGCCTAGAACTCACTGTGTAGCTCAGGCTGGCCTTGAACTTGAGGTAATCCTCCTGCCTCAGTTTTCCAAATGCTAGGATTATAGTTGAGAACCACCATACCCACTTCTGTTTTAATTGGAGGTTGGAGCAGTGTATCAGAGGTTAAGAGCACTGATTGCTCTCCCACTTATAGGTCCCACTTCTAGCAGTTAGAGCAGCTAACAACCATGTATAACTCCAATTTCAGGGGACCCAACATCCTCTTCTGGGCTTCCAATGGGCAACACACACACACACACACACACACACACACACACACACACACACACACCCCACAGGCTGGGCTGGGCTGGAACTTCCTATGAAGGCCAGGCTGACCTCAAACTCATGATTCCCCTGCTCCAGCATGTGCCATTATGCTCAACTCAAACAGTGTTCTCAGCGCACACCACCCCTGAGGTGAACGAAGTGGGTTTGGGGTATTTTATTACATAGTTCACCTACATTGTTTTTAAACACTTACAAGTCATTACTGCTTTCCCACTAAAGTCAATAGGTATTCCTCAGGGGAATGTAAGTGCAAATGGCCCCAGACTATCACCCCGATAGGAACAAGATAATGTTGAGTGTTGAAAATGTCTGTGATTTCTGTGTCTGTGCTGTCTGAAGCTGCTGACCTCATCCATGTCTTGTGAGTGCGCTCAGTCCCGGAGGAAGCCAGAACTGTAGATGGGAAGTGTGAACATCAAACAAGTTGAGGAAGAGGAAATGCAGGGGGCAGCAGCTGTCAGTAGCTTTGTCCTAGGAGCCAGGGGACTCAAGGCAATGTTAACATCGGGTCCTCGTCATCTCACTGTGCATGTGTGAAGTCAGCAGGTGGTGCTCAAATGCACATGGCTCCTGGCAGAGGGGTGGAAGCAGGAGATGGATCATGAGCTTCATAGTCTTTCTCTTCCACAATCTAGTTTTTCTAAAACACACTTTCAAATTGTTTTGGTCGAGGATCGTAATCTCTAGATGAAGTTGGTTCTAAAGAGTTGGGAGAGGCTGATGGTGGAGGAGGAGCCTGAGCGCTCCTGAGGTGGAAGCAGGAGGATCAGCAATTTAAGCCCAGTTTCATTCATAATTAGACGGAGTTCAAGCTGGCCTGGGTTATGTGAGACTCTGTCTCAAACAAACCAACCCTTCAAACAAACCCACAAACAAAACCAAGCAAAACTGTAGCCCCTCAATCACTTCGGGGTCAGTTCAGGTTTACAAGGATGCACAATGAATGCACTAAGCCAATTTTACGCTTTTCCGGTCACTGTTACATGAGCCCCCTGCCCTGCCCCCAAGGGTTAGTAAGTCTGGTTGCCAAGGAAACCACCTGAAAGGCCCACCATAGGGTAAAACATGTCCTGTGGATATACTGTGTGCCAAACTGACAGAACCCCCCGACACACACACTTTCTAACACAAACCAGAAAAGTTACGCTGGTAAGACAATGCTACCTGAGGACTGCCCAGGATAAATCAAGACAAGTCAGACCCTGCCCTAAAATTAGAAATGAGGTAATGGCAGAAAAGCAAGTGACTTTTGGGTAACTTTAGGGATGCTTCAAATACTCAAGACAAATTTCC